AATGATAGCACAACAATAATAAATGAGAAAGAATAAGAAGCAAAATCTTAGTTTTCACTTTGCTGTAGTAATGCAAAAGAAAAATAACTATGCATCTTATAACTAAGTTTGCTGGCTGATGTCAGCTGATTTGCTGCTTATGAAGATGAAACAACTTCATTCCTGTTTGTGTTTAACAGAAAATTCCTGGATAAGAACTGCAAATTTGCTCTAACCCTAAAGCATCTCAAATAAGTAAAATAGCTTGTAGGATTATGAAAGCCTCTGAGATTTTTAGCTCAAGGTGCATCTTACAGCTCAAGGTGTCTATTTTTGTTAAAAATCCACAGGTAAAAATTTGAATATTTCCTTTGCAATTATTGGAATAGGTTTTTTTCAAATAACTTAACAATTCTACATGCTGATACTATAATAACTAGCCGGGTCAACCCAGGGCTCAGGGCTGAGAGCACACAAAACTATAATCTATGATAAAAAATTATTATGTACAGTTATAACAAGAAATAAAATTTAAGGTTTCCTTCATGAAAAAAATAGATATTTCTTGTCGCTCAACCTGGCTTATACTGGCAAAACCAAACCACATTATTGACAGATCAAATTATCCGCAACTCGGACATACCTAGCCATTCATCAGACTGAGGAAAGAAAGAAACCCAAAAGCATCTGCTTTTAATTAAAAATATCAAATGCATTCAAAAACTAAAGAAATTGTAGCTACACATTCTAAAAGCATTACAATTAGTGGAAAATGCCATAAAAAGTAGCTAGACAAGCAAAACAAAGTGCGTCGGGATCGTCACAAATATATAACTGGTGTCCCCGGCTCCTTCAGGACAAGTAGGAGAAAAATGATGGACGCTTTGCAATATGAAAAGGTGGGTGAAAGTTTAAAGTACTTGAAAACTCCGCTTTAGGGCAAAAATCGCCGGAAACTTACCGGTGTTTTGTAGGGGATCCACGGGAGGTGCCATCAGATCAGCCATGTTTGTCAGCTTGGCAGTGCGGAATCATGAAATGTTACGGTCATATGAATTTTGAATAATTTCCCAGAACGAGCGGATACTCTTTGGTGTTATCTCTCGCAAGGCGGCTGTTAATCTCCTCAGGAATATAATTAGCCAGCTGCCGAGAAATTATCACCATCCAAACAAATAACCCAAGGGGACGCAGCGGAGGCTGCTCGCACGTTGAGCTCTTGATGCGCCTTTGAATTATTGAAAATATTACATTTGAATTCGCAATGTTTATGTTTAACCCATATTAATCATACAGTTGGTGGGATAAAATAAAATACATAAGTCTTTCGGTAAAGAATTAGCAAAATTCAGGTATGTCTTTGACACATAATTTTTATTTACCTACGGCATCTTTTTTCCATTAAATGGGTTATTCTGACGCGTTTGTGACATTTGGTTTGTTGACATTTATGTCGTTAGCTGTTGTGTATGGCTATTTGATTTGGATGCTAAGCGTTTTATTATCATTTTTTGGTACGTAGTTACAGACTGGGTGCATTTTTCATGATTCCATAATTACGGAGTAGGTGGATAGACGAATACTAAGGCTTAAGGAAACTCAAACTCAAACTTGACTACCTAAGTCAAGGATCTTGACTTAGGTAGTCAATTTTGCTCTTAGTTGTGCTCTTTTCTTCAGTGGCAATTTTACTTTTTCCCTAGTTATGTTTTTTTGCTTGGCTATTATTTGATGTCAGACCCTAATGTGTTTTGTTTAATCACTGGGGCTTATTTACAGAGCATACAAGTCATATGAGGCTGCTGCACTGTATGAAGCTGCAACAAGCTTTCATGCTAAACTTGAACTTGAACTGAAATCATGATCTCTGAGCTACCAATTGAGCTGCAGGAGAAGATTGTTGGCTACCTGCAGGGGCTTGACCTAGTGGTGGCTGGTGAGGTATGTGAGCTGTGGCACCAGCTCGCCTCCACCTTCTGCCGACACGCAGTTCAGGATGAAGTACCTGATGATGTCCTGGAGGAGCTGCGCGCCGAACTGGTGCCAGTCGCAGTGGAGGGCGAGCTGGACACTGAGAGTGCCGACCACCGCTGGCTGGAGCTGTACCACCGTTGGCTGCAGTCGCAGCTGCGCTCCCAGGTGCCGTGGCGCGTCACCTACACGCACAACTTCCCGTTCACGGTGCAGGCACTGCTGGGCGACGGCAGGCGGCTGTTCGTGGCCGACTCGGAGGGCGTGCTGACCGTGCTGGAGCGCGGCGCGCGCGACGCCCAGCAGCACCGGCTCTACCTGCACGACGGCCACATCAACCAGCTGGCGGCCGTGTGGCAGCACCGGCTGCTGGTCGTCACCGGCGCCGACACGCACTTCATCCGCGCCGGCGCGCAGCCGCGCCTGCTCATGTGCACGGAGAGTATGACTGGCCAGCGGCGCGTCAGCGTGCACCGCGACCAGCTGGCGGCGCTCAAGGACGTCTACCAGCGCACCTGCATCACCGTGTACCGGGTGAGCGCCGACGAGCGCTGGGCGCGCCTGCAGCCGCTCTATGACGTGCGCTGCGCGGACGCCGCCTTCCAGTGGAGTCTGTGGGCGGGTCGGTTGATCTGCTTCCTGCGTACCGGCGAGCTGTGTGTGTGGGACCAGGCGCGCGCCGCCTGGAGTAGCCACCCGGAGATGTACAGCGAGCTGCGCTACGAGAATCCCGCCTGGGTGGTGCGTGACACAGTGCTCTGCTCGACGCTGATGCAGCGTCAGATGATGGGCTACTGGCACTTGGACCGGGGGCTGACCTACTGGCTGCAGGGCCGCGTCGACCAGCCGCTGACCCGCGTCCAGCCGGCTCTCGGGGAGAACATCCTGTGTCTGTGTGCGCGTCGCTCGCTGGTCGTCGCCGGCACGCAGTCCGGCAAGTTGCTGTTCTTCCACTCTGGGGTGCGGGGCGGCCGGGACCCGCTGGTGAAGAGCCGGCAGACCGCCGAGCCGGACACCCACTCCGATGTGAACCTCACAACGCCCGTGTGTGTCATCGAGCTGGGGTTCAACTCCATCGAGCGCATCGCGTTGGGCTTCTCCGACCGAGTGCTGCATGTGTTCGTCAAGTCGAGAAAGAACATGGTCGAGTATATTGAGGTAGCAATGCGGCCAGAGCTGCTGAGGCATAGCTAGTGGGAGTGGCGAAACTTCAGACCGGACTGGCGAGTACAGGTTACCTCTGGACGAGTTACGTGCTGTGGGGAAGGCGAGGGATAATGTGGGTGACACACTGGTTCTGAGAATCAGACGTGCGTGATGTGATAACTGATAAGTGCCAGGTATTGTGTGAAGCTGCTTTGACGGAGGTGGTTTATATCACATATGGCGAAGCTGTCGAAGTGTCCCAGAAAATCCTGTCTTGGATTGTTGTCTTTCTGCGTGGAATTTTATGTGATGGATGCTGTATAATATGCGCTGCTGGTCAGTCGGGTGTGATGGTCAATAGCTGTGGGCTGTGCTTTATCGACTCACGTGGGACTCGTATGGTTAACTGGATTGTCCTGAGGGAAAAACCAAGTCGATTATTGTCCCTATGCGACTGTTCGCTGCTTGATATATTGTCTAATGATTTCTTTTACCGTCCCGGAAAAGTTTGCTGGGTGTCTGCGTTGGTCGGGAGTGATTACTTAGTTGTGTAACTGAATCAGTTTGGAATGAGTCTTTATTTGAGTTGTGCATCCGTCAATATGGCTTTTTGTATCCAGTTTATTAGTCATCGTAACGATGATAATACAAATGCGTTGGGTTTCACGAAGGTTCTTACGGTGGTTGTATCAGAAACTTCACTCAATTCATGCCGCCTTTCCCAGACATAGAAATGATCCAGCTTTTGTGTTCCACTGTCACATGAGGTCTGTTTCGCAGCTGTTTCATAACTGGTTCTGGCTCCTAGCCCCGTGCTCCTTTGATATACCCGCTTTTTTTTCGCACAGTGCACAGTTGGCGCCGGTCTATCGGCTGCCACTGCGTGTGAGGGACAGCAGGTGATATGCAGCTGTGCTCTATCCTCCGCCTGAGATTGGGCGTCACGTCAGCTTCACAAGCTCGCCACAGCGCACGGGATTGACGCCTCTATGTATGTGAGTAACAACTAACATTTCTCCGTTGCAAACGGACCCGCGCTTGGTACGGTGCTTTAGGTATATGCAGTCAGACGCTTTGTTAGGTGACGTTGAAAACGAACAATAGTTTTGAGCTACTGAGGAAGTGTTGCCATTCGCAATGTTAATCATTTCAAATGGAACAACCTGGTGAGGCACATTAAGCAGTAAGCATTCCAGTTCAGTACCTATCTATGCGGTTTTCAGTCACCGAATTATTTGCCTGGTATTGCCAGGCCGTTGCTGGCGGAAGCAGCGCCACCTACCTAACCTACCTTATAATTTTCTCCGCTAGGTGTACTATAAAGGTGAGCTAGTTTTGGAGCTAGTTTGTGAGGTCGCTTTGGTTGTTCCTTGCCTCGCGAGTCGTGACCAGCCTCATCAGTTTGGCTGATAATACGATCTAGATTCGCATTGTAAGATAGCTACATAATCTTTAAGAAAAGTTCAAACCCCTAAGGCTGCATAAGTGGGTGTGGATCATTGATGCTCTCTTGCCTTCTCGCCGCACCTCGTGGTTTTTCTTATTTGCTGTCTTGCTGCTTTTCTCCGTTAAAGACTTTCTCCAACAATGCCCAAAAGCGGTTGTCTGTCTTAGATACCTATCGTACTCATGATGCGTAAAACTTCGCAAGTGCTGCTTCTTTGACACTTCTTGTCGGTACCTACCTAGGTAGCCGTTGTCCGTGATTGTGTGTAAACTACGCTTTTCAAGAACGATATGCCTACGCCCTTTGCTGAATGCTTGAGGCTCCATAAAATTGCTTCAAATTTTAACTTTCATACAGCTATGATTCTCTTCTCGAGCTATGTCCGTACCGGGCCCAAGTGTCTCCTTCAATCGATGATTGTGCCCCTGGTCTCCCGCAAAACGCTCAAAGGCCCTGATCTCTTACCGATGTTTCGCTATTGCAAAAAAGGATGGCGAAAAAGATACACCAACATTCACGCTATCACTAACACCACAGGTATAAAACAAGCCCGTAAACAAACACTCTCACGGCACCGCTTGTGCTCACAATCAGCTCCAGCCAACGTGCTCATCAGTTCTATCGAACTCTAATTGCCTTGGGCCTAATACGACGCCAGCTGGTGACACACGCTACGAGAACAGCTACACATACTGGCACTGTGTCGTGTCTCACACTACGCGTATCACATATCTGAGATGTTCTCCATCTGACCTTACGGGCTCAGCCCCGGCGACTCACTAGGGTGCCTGCCCAGACCAATGTCTCCCCCTATATCCTATCATCCTCCCGGCTCTGAAATGGCCTAATTGGACCGAAAGGGCCTAACCCAACAAAACAAACAAACAAACCATCTGACCGCCGGACACTGCACGTCATCACGTATGACGTCATCAATTCCTTCACAATATCAGCCGTCTGCAGCCAAGCCCAACAAGCACACACATTGCATTTCATGCATGCGCGGTGGTGGTGCGGTGCAACAATTATGACATTCGCCAAGCCGTATATCCAAAAGCAAAACGCATCCCACTCTGATATCCCACGTCGTTCGCTTGTCTTTGGTCAGGTGACGTCACATGTAGTGCGTGATGTCACACGAGTGAAATGGGACCAGCAAAACCCGTCCGCGAGACGGTCCAATGCCTTATCAAAACCGAGAGCTTAAACGATGGCTTACACCATACCACCAGCCTACATACTCATTACTCAAGCATGACCGCTGTCACACATCAATTAAATGCCGAGATACCTTGCCTGAAGAAGTGTAGCCATTTGACTAGACCCGTCCACATTCGCCCTTCCCTTGCTTCTGGTAAATGCCTAGTTGTAGCCCGATTTAGCCTCAATCACTATAAAAAAAATGTCCGCTTCGTGTGATGAAGTGTACGGACACTAAAGAATAAAGCTACGCCAGTCCTTTCCTCAGTGACAGGCGTAACCCGTGACGGGGACCTTATTCTCCTCCATAAACAGAATCCAGACTGGTTATAAGGACTCGTGGTAACTTTTTGGGCACGAGTCGGTTTTAGGAGCCACCGAGCCATCCCAGGCTGATGAGATGTCTGTAACTCGGTGGATCTGGCGCGGGATCCAGCCTATCATCCTGACATTGGCTGCCTCAGTTGATACTTTGCTCGAATGAGATGAGACCAAGGTAGCACAGCATCAAACACATCCACCAAGCCCGTGACGACCCACCAAACGAAAACACACACGTAACATGTCGCTGTCCTCATTTCAGACGATGTAAACTGAGGAAATGATCATACAAATGGTAGAAGGGACATGAAACCATACGAAGTTATAGGTTGACTGTATGCTTTACGTTGATCGTGTGCTCACATAATTCTCCCACAATGTTTTAGCTCGTCGCAGCAATCGCACACCACTGATGCATCTCTTTCCTTTCGTCACTGAATCGTCACTAAAAGATAATTTGATGTCACTGTGGTATCAGCTGCCATTTGATCACTTCACTTTCATCTAAGTCACACGACTACTGTCAACCCAAAACGTTTCTATATGTCCAGTATGACTTCACTACGTCACCAGGGTTCCGTCGTAACGGTACCAGAGTTCTGCACTAGGACCGTGACGCAACCAAGAGTTCCATTTTCACGTCACCGGAGTTCCATTTCATCGTCACTAGAGTTCCATCACGATACCACTGGAGATCCGTCGTGACGTCAGTGCCGCTCTGCGTCCCTATGACGTCACTATAGGGCCGTTCTGACGTCGTAGACGATGGTCGGCTCCTGCCCCGAGCGGCTGGGGTAGTGGGTGCGCGCGCGTGCGATCACAGAGGCAGCGTCGTTGCCCATCCGGTTCCGCTGCTTGTGGCTGAAGCTCAGCTGTGGGACAGATGGACAGGTGTCAGATACATACAGTTGTCAGATGCCCATTGCGTTAGATAATCACACACACGTTCAGGGCGTGAATCAGATGCACCTAACACAGTCGGTCTGCTGAGCTGTCACACCGTGTCATATATTGTCAGATGTCAGATCTTTATGATATGCTGTACTCGGTAGACTGACGAGTAATGCTATGTCCTTAAATTGCTTTCCCTCGTGAGAAAGAATACGTGCTGGGCGTTAGTTGATTGATGATTCATTGGGTTTCCTTTCCTTGTTACAGAGACTACCTGTCCGTGCATCATGACCTCGAGTTTACCGGAAGAAATTCCAGGGAATAATGGCCATATACATACGTTCAAATTAGTTACAATGCCGCTGATTGTTGACAATCGAGTGTGAAAGATGTAGGGCGTTCATCAATTATCAGGTACACCTATATGCAAAGCACGACTACAAAATGATACAGAATGGACAAGAATAACCGCAACAGAGAGCTGAGTACGACGCGGCCGCTCAGTCCTTCCAAACACGATACATATAAAATACCCTAAATAATGGGTACAGTGATGCAACCGATTCTCTATGGTTTTGTTCGCAATAACGAACAATTTTCCTCCTACCGTGCAGTGTGCAGTTCTTTGTAATCACATCGAGCACGGAATAATCTGGACTAACAAAGTTAAAAGGCCGACCGCTCCGGTAAGTTTCCTCTAATTGTTAGCGGAGGCTAACTTTAGGATGAGTTTGCAATTGCGCATCACATGTGCACGTAACCTCATTACGCATTTATCTTGGGACCACACCGTCTTCACACGCTATTAACTCATAATGGAAGCGGGATGATGTTCCCATACACCGACGGCATGAAGGAAATATTTCACAAGTTTTGTCCCTGCAAACGCAGCAGGCATGAACCGACTTCTCATTGCACGACATTATTGGTTAGTATCCCAGTTGGCCCGCAGCCTAAGAGACCTTTCTACCGGTCGGTGGCTCCCCAATGCCCGTATTTACCGGGTGTTGGCTGGAGTCCTGCAGTTTGCCCTTGTTCTTGTTCCTCATCCAGGAGGGCAGACTGCGGGTCCTCATTTCCTCGTCCAGCAGCATGAGATCCACTCGGTCTGGACTCACTTCTCCTGTAAAAAACAAACGGCCGTTTGGTATGTGAGGCTAAGCACGTTCGGTGCGTTGTCTCAGCAGTCACGTCTAGTGTAAAACGAACGTTAACCCGCGCCCTGCTGGGGGGGGGGGTGTTTGAACACCCCCCCTTGTGGTTTTTCGCGAATATCTCAAAAACGGCGGCGCGGAGCGCCGCCGTTTTTGGTACACCTTATCATACATCAATTCTACACATGTTGTGAAAATTTCAGACCAAGGTCATTCAAGGTCAAGTCACCAGGTCACTTGAAGTGACCTCACCTCATAAAAAGTTTCAATGTCTGTCATAGCTACACCGAGTGACCGATCGCTTTGAAACTTTCAGCGATTGCTAAGAGCAATAGCATGTACAAAATGTATATCTCAGAATTTTGATATCGATGACCTAAGGTCAGGTCAATTTTGCGACCTCCCCATTATAAGTCAATGGGAGAAAATTGAAATGCGCCTCTTTTGGACGAAAGACATTATAAACACTCCCAAACACTGAATTACAGGTGGTTTAGACACACTGAACATGTAAATGGTGTCCGTGACCCCTGTTTATGCCCTGAGGTCATCTTAGGTCACGAATGGTATCTAACAGTTTTTCGCAAATAACTTTTGATAGAGGCATGCTAGAGCGATGAAAACGCCTTAGATGTGTTCAGCTCGACGATACGGATCGACTGATATGCAACATGACCCTTTCCGGTCAGGTCATGACCTTGACCTGAGGTCAAATTTTCAAGTTGACCTTTCAAGGTCAAGTTATAGTTCATTCGATGCGTATTGACGAGAGGAACACGATGCCGGTAAAAGTAAGCTCGTACAAGGCTTGGGTCAAAAGTTATTGCAGAAAAACTGTTTCCGAAAAAATCGGCTATTTTTGCAGTTTTGGCCCCCTGCAGGCAAAACCGTTGACGTTAGGTCAAATCTGAGAAAATTATTCAGAAAGGGCGTTAATAGGGCTATCGAATGCGCTTTTCCGCGGCGCTGTAGCTCTATTGGTTCCCGAGTTATGCGTTGGCTTCTTGGAAATTGTCGACATTCGACTGGAAATCGGCGAAATTTTGCCTTCAATGACCTCTGGTGACCTGACCTTTGACCTGACCAAAAAATTGACCGAAATGATTTCCTCTTTATTTTTGACGCTCTTTCGAACGCCGCTTTCCGCGTATCGCTACGTGGCCCAGGAGCCGAGTTAGAAGGGGGGGTGTTCAAACACCCCCCCCCCCCCAGCAGGGCGTGGAAATCCAGGACCCCCAGCCGGGCGCGGGTTAAGAAGGACAAAATTGAAAGCTCTATTCGTTTCGGCCTCACGAATCACCAGATACGCTTATCGACTCGGGTCCGGTCTGACTTATTTGAGCGTCGGCCGAGTCTAACGTCCCCGCTGAGCCACTGCGACTCGCCACCAAAGTTACTGACGACAGCGTCAGACCCGACATAAATGTCACTGATCGGCGACCGCCGGCTCGTAGGGCTGTTAGCGTCGCCCCGTATCTCAATCGGCTAGCTCGCTGCGCCAAAGGAAAGGAACGGCTTATCGGTCATGGCCACATCGAAGGGCAATGTTGTCAATTTGAAGTCCATCGGCCCCAGTGAATGGGACCGTCTTAGAAATGATGGCCTCCATTTCCCGCTTTCTGATGGCTTCTCTCCCCCCCCCCTCTCTCTCTCTCTCTCTCTCTCTCTCTCTCTCTCTCTCTCTCTCTCTCTCTCTCTCTCTCTCTCTCCCTCCCTTCCTCCGTTCTCCTTCTCTCTCCTCTCACCAGCGCTGGGAGCACACGGCCCGACATCGGCAGCCGAGGCGGCCGCGTAGAACTGCTGCAGTCGTTTCTGTTTGGACGGCAGCGTCCGGTACGCGGCGGTCGTATCGTGCACCTCTGCCTGCGCAGAGGCGGTGGCGGAGGTGGCGGGCTCGCCCAGTGGTCTCCGTTTCTCCAGGGTCGGGCTGTATCCGGAGATGTAGACGACGTTGTCGGTCCACCGCGGGGAGTCCTTGGGCCGACCGCCGCTCGGCTCCAGAGGAGGAGGGATGTTGTGAGATTTGACCGTCAGCGGCGGCGCTGTCGGCGGCTGGAACGGCACGACAGATCTGTCACAACTCAGTCAAAACGCAGATGGTGCGGACTGAGGGAGATACAGGGACGTTTCGTAACTCGTGTGAGTGATACATGAGGACTGCGGTGTGCTAGGCGGGAAGAAAACAGTAAACGCACAGATGGAAAACGTGATTGATTGAGTCGCAGACGCCGAAAGCGCTATGCCTGCAGTCTCCACGCGAAGTGATGACCGCGGCTGAGGAGGCTTTTAGCGCCTACCTCTCACATCTGCAACGCACAAACAGATTTCCCCCTGGGCACGCCACTAAATGTGAACGGGATTTTCCTCTCGTAGGCTGTCAGTCGCGCTGACAGGCTCCGCAGCGCCGGTGAACGTCGCACAGGGGAGCAGAAAAAAGGAAGCCATCCAGCGAGGAACACGTCAAGGCCATTGCATGCCAGCTGCGCTCGAAATGTTTTGCTACTGGTCGATAATGCAATTATGAGAGCCGATATTCTCATTTCCGAGCCCAGCAAACATAATAAAAAGAGGAAAATAGATATCGTGGATAGAGTGTACCTACCTATAAATGAACTACTTTGTTATCAGCTAAATGAAGAGCAGGGCAAATTTGAGCTAGAAGCGTGCGGTCAATGACAACGGACGCAGACGGTGACCTGATAGAAGTTCGGTAGGTACACCAATCGATCTGAAAAGTCGCTATAGCCTTCATTGATGCATGCGAGTCCTGGAATGTCAAATGGAAGCCGCAATTTAGCTAAGAATATGGAATGAAGTGCTGACTGTTGAGAGCACATAGCATTTGTTAATCAGCCTTGGCAATGACATTATCGAACCAGAAAACCATGAAGTGTGCCGCACTTTTGAGAAGTCAGGTATGAGCGCATAAAGTTTCTCCGTCGTTTTTTTGTAATCATTAGTCATTGAAATTAATTACAGGGTCATTATGAAATTCAAGCCGACTGTGCTTTATGCTGAGCCTGAATGTCTTCGAAAGCGCTCCATAAAATCGGATATGTCTATAAGTAGGTAGGTAGGTAACCAACCTAATGGTTTCTAAAAGTTTTCCATGCGCAATACAGGGTGTTGCAGGTAAATTGGGACTAAGTTCATGACCTTACAAAAAATTTGCTATGCGGAGGAACATCATGGAAATTTGACACAATATAATTTCAACAATTGTTTTTCATTTGATATTGAAATTTTAATCCTAACATATCGCGCAGTCATGGAGCAGCGTCGGAGGGAAACGATTGGTGAGTTAGTTCGCGCCGGACAGAGCGCGAAGGACATAATAAGTTTAACTGGGTACCCAAAGTCTACCGTGTACCGAACTATCGCGACTGTAGGAGCTGGAGGGGATGTCGCTCGACGTTCTCACACACCTCGCAGTGACCGAAAACGGACACCAACATTCCTGAGCGGCTTGAAACGCTCGATACAGGCCAAACCGAGGACCTCGATGAACAAGCTTGCGCGTGCCCGTCACGTGAGCAAGAGCACCATCAGCAGAGCCGTGAGAGAGGACCTCGGGATGAAGTCGTTTACCAGAAAACGACGAAGCCTCCTGACCGAACCAGCAAGGGCGATGCGAAGGGAGAGGGCACCGAAGGTCCTCAATCTCCTCAAGCACCTCGGGAGTGACGTCAGGGTATTTGTCGATGAGAAAAAGTTCATCGTAGAAGAGGTCGCCAACCGCCGGAACTCGCGGGCTATCGCCTACAGCCCTGATGAAGTGCCTCCTGTGATGAAGGGCAAAAATCCGGCATCAGTGATGGTATTCGGGGCCGTCGCAAGTGATGGCCGCATAATGCCGCCCCATTTCATACCTGCTGGTGTGATGATCGACACTGACGCGTATTTGACCATCCTGAAGGAGTCTCTCATCCCCTGGATGATGAAATACTATGACCTGAGCAAAGTCATGCTGGTGCAAGACTCCGCCCCAGCACATGCTTCCCAGAGGGTGCAAGATTTCCTGAGCCAGAGGATCCCCCTTTATGTACCCAAGGACATATGGCCCTCCAACTCGCCTGACTTGAATCCATGCGACTTCTGGATGTGGGGCGTGGTAGAACAAAAGTCCAACTCGACCACTCATGCCAACGTTTCTGACCTGAAGAAGGCCATCAGGAAGGCAGTCAGCACCATTGACCAGGACGAGGCCCGGCGCGCGTGCTCCGCTTTCCGGCGCCGTCTCGAGAGGGTGCGGGACGCCGACGGCGGTCACATCGAGTGACAAGGCTGTGCGTACATGACACAATACACGTGCGAAGTTTCAACTTTCTATGTTTTCATTCACCGTATTAATAGCATGTTGAAATTAGGTCTGAAAATTCCCAATTTACCTGCAACACCCTGTACCTATCTATTGTCAATGACCGGCATGATCCGCGTGAAACATAATATTGATTCAACAAGTACCTACATTGGTTGATGAGCGTAAAGCGCATCAATACCAGCCGTATATGATGAGCGGGTGAACGCGGTCACATTTGGCCGCGCGACTGTGTTCGTTTACATTGCTATCCCTAGATGGCGCTAGTGGTAAACGCCTGCAGTTAGACTGTGCCGCAATGCCCGAGACTGGCTGGGGCGGCCCCGTGTAAGCTGCTGCGTTTCGCTTTGCTTTGTCGTAAACAAGTTCAACAGAAGTGAATTTCGATAGCTTCACATCATCAAACAAGCGCGAGGGATTAATTTTGCCTGAAGCTGTAGGTAGAGCTGTGCCAAGAAGAAGGCAAAGCGCGAGGGATTAATTTTGCCTGAAGCTGTAGGTAGAGCTGTGCCAAGAAGAAGGCATTGTGGCGGGTAAACCCCGCCACAATACTAGCGAAAAAAAACTATCATAATGCTGGTGAACATTTACGTAAGACTCTTCACATTTACTAAAGGAGAAAATGGCCCCGTGTTTCCCCACTGACCAGGTGGTGGACGGACGATACCAATATTACGCCACGCCCCGGTCCGACCATCGATCCGTCTTCATCAAACTGCGACCCGGCTGGCCGCGGACGCGCTGGGGTGTGGACATAGCGATAACCCTGCAGGTGGGTATGGTGAACAGTGTGGACGCTCGCCCCCGCGCAGCTGCGGCGTAGGCCCCTCCCCCCCGCTGGTGGGCGGGTCTGTCTCAGGAGGCTCTGTCCTCCCCGGTCCCGTACACAGGTCGTGCGATATTAGATTACACGGCGACGTCCGCGCAGAATTGCCTGTCCCGCGAGTAGCCAGGCTAATTCGGTTAGCAGATGTAACGCGATTACCGGAGAAAGTTTAGATCGTGTATCTTCCGCGCGGCTGCCAGGGATGTGCGTAGGTATTGCCGGCGGTGCGTCTTTTTTGAGCCTCTCGCGTCGCGGCGGAATTGGCTAGGGAGCTCTGTGGCAGGTGCACACGAGAGTTGGATTCCGCACTGGGAAACGGAAATAACGCCGGACAAATTTAGCAAGGAATTGCGGCAGGTCAGTATGTTCTGCATCATAAAAAGAAGTTCGCGTGCTTAGATGCCAAACATAAACATGAGTAGAATCATTGTTATGTGCTATAGATGCATCATAATTGAATTACTTTGGTCTTATCTATCGTTTAATTCGCATCCTCAAAGTAACGAACAAGTTACAGGAAATGAGTCCCAGTCCATGCTGGAAAGCCGTACTTCAGGCAAATGGAATTAGCTCCTGAGCAAACAAGTCACGATGTCGTTATCGCTGGAGCCAGCGCATTTTCACGTCCACGGCGACCGCCAGCGTCCCGCGCAACTTCGGCCCGTTAGGGCGGCTTGATGACTACTTTGGCGTCAAAGTTCTGTCTCGCCACCTAACTTGGTCTATGTCACAGTGCAAGTCGAGTGGAAACGGCCGCCGAAGGGGTTATTGTACCGATGGCACGGCACAGAGGAACAGCACGAATGCAGCGCAAAAACTTTTCAAATGGCCTGCATGGGCCTCGAGATGCTGTAAAAGTGTAAATATGCTGTTACAGCGACTGAAATTAAATTAAATGGTTCGTATAAGACGGCGTGACTGCCACCGATGCACCTAAATAACAAGCTTACTGATTTAGTGAAAAGCAAACGCTTTAAGTTTCCCAGACTAATTTTTTGACACTTCTCGCTTATAGCGGCTTTGCTAACAATGATTAGTAGCTTAGAGATAATGTTTCTTAAGCCATGTGACATGCGACATGTGATTGGTTGGCAGACTGCTCACCATCCTCATTCTTAAATTTCAAATGCTCGACTTCTGAACACGTCCGAAGCTGTACCTACGCCTACAGTATGAGTCGCCTGACATTTGCAGCAGCGCGTTGTCGTCCATCACTAACGATAACCGATGTTGAAAGCTCAGGTGGTCTCGGTCGCATCGATTTAGTGTCAGTGTTTGATTGTTTCAGCGAACCAGCCAACTTCGTTGGGTAGGTATGTGGCGCTACGGTCTAGCCGGATGCTTGAACTTCACAACGCCAAGATATCCTGTATTATGGCGTGCGAACGAGTCTGACATTGGCAGGCTAAGCTTGTAACAGCGAGTAGCCAGTGAATTTATAAGCTGTCAATCCAAGGCTCCTGTCGTTCACAACCATAAACGCCGTCTTTCGGAGTGTTTTGTTTTAACGTAGCTTTTGCCATTGTATCAGTATCATATATTTTTAATTGGGTCTCATTTAGCTCCTATATCAGCATGTCACATTCCTGACCGGATTCTAATACCCACCCCGTGGAAGAATTCTAATAAATGACTTTGACTTTGACTTTGAGTGGCGAGATGGTGCTGCTGATCTTTCCCTTCTGCTAACGCTGGTCACTGCTGATATTTACCCTCTGGTGACGCGCACGCGGGCCACTGGTAAACTTTAACTTCTGTGGACACAGTGTGCTGCTGATCATTACCTTGTGTTGCAGCGGTGTGCTGGTGACATCAGCAGCGGTCGTAGTCGGCGTCTGCGCGGGCGATGCCGGCTGGGAAGCGCGATGATAGTAGATGGGGAGGCCCGAGCCGCGGATACCCTCCGTACACAGCTTCAGGCAGCCGGAGCTGGAATAGAAGGAGCGGCCATTGGTTAGCACGCGATGTGGGACGTCGGCAATCGATTCCAATAGTCAATCAATGGTATCACCGACCTTAAGGGTCGTGGAATAGTGGTCTGTACTTATTACACGAAAATGCCTTATATGGTTTCATTTGCGCCGTATTTCAGCCGACAAAAAAAAAATCGGAAAATGTAATTATTTGTAATTGTATAGAGTATCGTAACCTACACATTTTCCGGTTCGCGGGAGGATGTGATTACGACCGACTGAATTATCTCGGCTGAATTATCTCAGCTCTCGGAATCCTTTTCTTTAATTTGGTCCGGTTCGTTTCGCTGCGTTTCCGCCGCCAGGAAATCCGTTCCGCCAGAGTCCATCGACTTCTCAGAAATCCCGGTGTCGTTACACTCCGCGGTCACTGCCGCTGACCTCCCCCTCCCCCACACGTGCCCTCGGCCGCCCACGGCCCTCGTCCGCCGTCATCACTGCTGACGGCTGCGGGGCGACGATGGTCCTTCTGTGTCGCCCAGCACGACTCCCGCGTGGGTGCTGACGCCGACATCGGCTGCACAGAGCCATTCGATCCGGGAAGGAACTCTCATACGGGAGGAAATGTCGGAAACATCCTAGTCTCCTCCACTGTCGCCATCGCTGCCGACGATGACGACAACGACGAGACAACTAAACGACGAGGATCAGTAATGCAATAACGTTTATGTCGCCACACTCACTACACTCGCCAGACAGCGCCCGCATTCGCGGACAAAGAGATGTCGACAGAAGATCAATTGACGACGATCGTCGGCGACGATGAAAATTTCCAACCGCGGAAATCGAGTAGATAATTGCGCAAAAAGTTGCCAGTGTGTTCAAACTTTCCCGAACTACGATTGCATCAAGAGCTTGGTGACATCGGCTTCCAATGCAATGTCATCGGGTAATACATTCTTAATTTTCAAAAGTTGAGCGCAACTTATACGACACAGCGAGTGAGGAAGAATGGAGGGAGATGACCTTTCCAGTCACCGACCTAACATATGTCTGTTGTGTTATCGCGGGCCTGTCGGACGACCCAGAGTGAACTCTGATGGTCCTCTGGGGTGCAATAACCCGGCACGCCACGAGCGCCAGTGGTTCATCATTTCTAGTCGGGGTACGAGGATATGCCCGAAGAACTCTGATGGAAGTCAGGTCAAAGCGAGCGAAGAAATCATGAAGATGATGCAGATTGATCCAATTTCTAATTATTAAAATCGCTAGATTCAAACCAATAGCCGGGATAATAATTATTCAAGTAATCGGGAAGGAATCATTTATTTCATTTTTCTTATAAAGAACGTTATAACATATCTAAATTTAGCTAAAACGCAATACACTTTGGAAGACAGCTTGGAAATAAGGTGCATATTTTCATCTTTTGGGGTCGCACGATGAATAATGACACCAATTTTCTAGGAAAAGACGACGTTCAAGGCACAGCCAGTATGATAAATGGTGGTCAAAACGACAGACTGGGGAGCGACCATGGGCCGTACACGGGGTTCAAATAAATTGTAGAAGCGCGGGAGCGCCCGAAATGCGTCTGGTCATGGGCGATAAGACTTATCTGAACGACGTAGGATCATCAACTGCAAGTTAAAAAACACACACAGCGTGCTAAGAAAGGAGTAGAAAGGAGTAGTGCTAAGAAAGAATAGTAAGAAAGGAGTATCTCGGCACCATCCCGCGATATTTCCACAGCCACTCCCCCTGCTACTGCTGCGTACCGGTATCACCGCCACGAGTTCTGAAGCGGGTGTGATCGATGGCTCTCGTTCTGCACTCCGCGGTAATGCGCTGCTGATTCTCCACCGCGGCACCCTCGCTGATGACAGGCGCATTGTAGGCGCGGCGCCCATTAGATGGGGCGTTTGATGCATGGGCCTTGAGGCCATCGATCTGGCGGTGAGCTCCCCTCTCCCCGCTCACCGTCTCCGCGGAGACCTTCGGTCCCCTGTCCCCCGCGGGAGTCGGAGAGCCTCCCTCCTATAATGACTCAGAGAGGCGCCCCTCTCGGCTCAGCGCAGTTTGTGTTCCTGTCACAAAACCGGAGGCGAAGCTGCTGCGATTGGCCATTTCCCGACTTCAGAATACCTCAGCTCCCCTCTAGTCTTCTCTTCGTTTCATATCGTCAATGGCCGAAAAAAAAACACTTAAGCCTCTGCCTCTTTTTATTGATCAATGACGTCCACCTATTTTTATCTGAACTGTTATTATTAGATAAGTAGGGAATAGGTTTGCATCGTTCTTAGATGGGATCATATTCACAGAGACGTTATGGACACTTCTCAAATATATACGCGACATAAGGCGCAATGGCATGAATGAATATTATAAAAAGACGTAGCGCATGAAAAATTAATCTCCTTGAAATATTTACGAGCTGTCGTGCCGCAGCCTCGGTATATTACCAATGAAATAGTTACATAAAAGTGTTGCAAGATGCTGGCGTTTAATCTGATTCGAAGCCTCGCACAAGATATTTGACTTGCTAATATCGCTGAAAATATTAAAACTTCGCTGCATATTAAGATGACGACGAGAAAAAGATGCTAATATTGGTGCAGGAAATACGTCAAAGGATCCAATTGATCCATTATTCTGCCCAACCCACCATTTATGGGGGACAGCCAGCCATATTGGCCTGGCGTTTGGGTGCATTAACATCTAGTCCATGCTCGCTCGCATAGCGCAGAGCGCTACCGCCAAGAACGATCAAAACGGTTTTCGTGTAAGAGAAAAGGCACTTAAAATTTCACGGTCTATTTGTAAGCACGGCAAGCACTTCTATAAATCACATCAGAATTGAGAGCAAAACAAAGTGAAAATCAGTGTTCTTCAGTCCCCAGTACGCTAGTTAATTAGTGCAATATTATCGCTTGTGCCAGCCCGCCCCCCTCATCCCAGAGCAACTGCGGGCGTCCAGAGCGAGCCAAAAACACTCCTCCACAGTCCACATGCCTTTGCACCTGCAGTTTTCATTCGCCGCAGACGGCAAACTCAACACCACCACTCGATGCCAGCAAACATAGGTTTTCCCCGTGGATATCATGGAATCAGTCAGACTCCCACTGGCGGAAACTCGCGAGTCGTGGCGGCCCGGTACATTAGATCTCCGATTAGGCAGTGACCTCGGAGGCAGGTCGGTGGGTCGCGCTCTCTGGCTGCGGAGCGGCACAGGACAGGTGTGTGCAACTCAAGGAGTGTGTTAACAGACTCGGCCAGCGCCCGCTGCCCATGTAACTTCGTGTACGGATTCCTGGCAGTGCTTCAAAGGCAGAGTTGTTCGGCCTCGGCAGACCACGAAGCCGCAAAAATGCGCAGTCGTTCTGACACACTAATAGTTCTGACTCTATGACTCATATGCAAATAAAACATTAGGAGGTATTCACAGGCTTTGGTTATTGATTGATGCATTCCTTGCTTCAGATCAAACGCTGTTTGGTTAGCTTGACTTTCGTTTAATTTAACTTTGCACATTGCACGTGTTGCCTCCCTAATTACGACTGACTAAATAAGGTGGGCAAGAAGTAGGGATTCAGATACAGGCTCTCAACGTTGCGAAATACTGCAGCATCCTCAGCTCACGGATGATGGCACCAGCACAATCATATCTTTTATAAAAGCCGTTCCAAACATTATCGAAAAGGCAGTTCATCTGAGAGCGTATTGTGCGCATTGTGCATCGTGGACTGACGTTTTAACATTTCATTAGAAGTCGGCATAAGCGTCGTCGGCCAAACCGTCGCTTCATGCAGTCCGACTAAGGTTGACTTTTGGGCTGCGTGGGGAGGGGGATAGTAAAGGCCTCGTTCGGGCGTTCAGGGAACTATCAGTATCGACCCCGACCACCCTCCCTACGCGCGTCTATAATGAAGTCCCGTCGCCCGATTTATGAACACCGGCGTCCGACATTTGCCGGGGGTCGGCCGTCGGTTTCGACGGACAGAGCGCGGAGAACTGGACAGAGTTGGGGAGAGGCTCAGAGCCTGGCCGGTTCACCGCCCGACTACCGTCGGCGAAACAAAGAGAGGTCACTGAAATGGCTTCGGGGACACATTTCAGGGCTTCTGGTTCCGATTTCAGCTTGGAGCAGATAAAAAGCGAAGATGTTGGTAACTTTGTGCCCAGTTATAAATGTTCGAAGTCACTTGAAAAGTGCATCGAACTCTTACATCTGGTCATTATGCATAGGAACCTTACACTTCCAAGTTTCATCTTCAAAAGTGCGAGTTTCCGAGCGCGAGTAGTGTCGCGTGAATCTGTAGCTCGAGCCCAGGCCTCCTCAGCAAACTGGACAAGTTGGGCACTCATACCAACGACGAGCCCAGGGCACTAAAGAGTAGAGCCTATGATCCGACTGAGGAGTGGTGAGGGTGGCGACCAGGGACGGGCTCAGCGGGGAGGTGTGGTCGATATAACGCCGTCCTGGCGCCGCTCCGGCGGGCGGGGGTGCCACCCCGCGGTGCCACGACCCCGCGTGCACGGCACCCGTCCCCTCCGGAACCCCACACCGGCCTCCACCCGCACCCTGCAAAGTACCGCGGCCGTGCCGTGACACCGTGCCAAGTCGATGCACACCGGCGCCGCTATGTCGCCGTTTGTTGGCGGGGTACATGGCCAGTCCTCATGAATCAGACTCGAGACCATCCGCCTTGTCTAGCGGGCGAGACATGGTCCGGGTCGTGCATGCTCAGAGCCGCGGTTCCTTTGCATCAACCCGCGGACACCGCAGCCTTCAGAGCGGGGTGGGAGTCAGCGAGCCGGTGCCGTGGGGAGCCGGCCAAATGTTCAGCTGACTAGTGACGTCATTATGGCAGCGTGACTGGCGGGCAGGGCGGAAGGCGGCGCCGGGCGCAGACAAGTAATGCGCCAAGGCTGAACCCGGTGAGGTAAGCGGATGGCTTCCAAATGGGATGCCACGGGCAGCGGTGCCGGCACCGTGCCCGTATTTGTTGCGCTCCGTGGCAGACGACTATCTATGGTGGTAAGGGATATTTAAATTTCATGCATGATCAAAACATTTAAATACACCGCTGCTGAAATCTCAGCCGATAGTCAGACCAGTCAGACGTAAGGCGGCCGATAGCCAGACGAGTAGGTAATAGTCAGACAAGTCCATATCTGAACTAAATCAGACATATCAGATGTTCCATTCCGTGACATCATTACGCAATACACATGTCCGTTCAACTCGCACAGTAGAAACTCACCTTTTTCCTGGCGGGCTTTCTGACCAAGGGTCCTTCTCCTCTTTCCGCAACTCTGAAATAAAGAGGAAACGAAAAAGCTCAGAACATAACCACAAAGTAACTTCAATCAACGTCCAGCCGTAGCATAATACCCTTCAGTTTCCCTGTGCCGTCCCCATGATTTAGTATGGCCTTGGCTCAAGATGGCGATAGCTTCCACCCGACCTCCTGCTGTAACATACATCGACTGCAGCTGACCTACTCGACGGGACCGGAATGGTTCATGTGGGAGGCGGCGGTCGAGTTAACGACGGCCTTCCGATACAGACACAGACGAGAGGGGACTGGGGACCGCCTGCTCTTTCTGAGCGGAAGTTGATTAAGTTAAGGCGACAGAATTGCAGAACGGCCTCGTCGTGATGTTGTGATAGATTCACACTCTTAGATTGGAAGGATTATCCCAGCCATGGCATGTGGTTCTTTTGAGCAAGCATCGCTAAGAAACTTTGTCTGTGTTCGTATACCTAATTTGTAAACCGAGACAATTCCTTGAACAATCTTTTTTATAATACGACATAGAAAGACTGCTTCAGTTCGGTTGCGTTCGTGGCAACCAGACCCGGTATAGTATTGCATTGCTGGGCAACGTAGGCGAACCCTTCTTATGCAGCACTGCATGTGCACTTCCACATGAGGATGAGAGCTGCGTGAATTCCTAAATTTCCTTGACGCCTGATCCTTCATTAATCAAATTAAAATCTAAGAAACTGGCACGTCAACGTGTCACAAGATTCACGCTGCATGCCTTGATGCAAATGAAGTCAGATAAGCACTACTGAGGTTATTGTCGGACTTTCGTCTTCGTCTTGAGGTGAGCTGTTAGTTTTGAAAGTCGGACAACTAACATCAGTAATACTAACACCTCGTCTCAAACATTCCGAAGATCGCAAAACATGCATCGACCGACCTTAAAGGTTAGCCGATGGGCGGGCACTTTAAGCGTCAAGGCACCCCGATGCTTAGTATGATCATGTAAATATTGGCAAGCAAGCAGTAATGTTCATTGCATGTACACGGTGCATTATAAATACTCGTAATGCCGCCTGATCATGCAGCAGAATGGGACCCGCCTTTGGCACAGTATCGCAACAAAAATGAATGCCAAACAAACTGTAAATGCTTTGAAAGCGGAAAGTCTGGCCTGAGCGAGATTGGTTGTGGTTATATCACTGAAATCTTTCGGTAGATCATGAAGTTAATCTGCTGATAGAGCTAAAATCTAAAAATCATAAATCATGCAAAGCTTTGCGGCTGTGGCTTTTACGTAGGTCTTTTCTTACTCATGTCAAAGGAACCTCGAGCACTGGAACTGGAGCCTATGGAAACAATAAAGGTTTTGGGCTTTAACCATCTGTAAAGTATAAACACATAATGTTATGGTATTGGTGGTCCTAATCATCTTTTATAAATAGGACTGTTATTTTCTATAGCTCTTCAATCAATATTATTGTTAATTGTTCGCTACATTGCAAGAAATGTTAAATTCACCGTTCACGTATAAAAGTCACATACAATGTAGAAGTAAAATAACATCACGCACTGCATACGCATAAAACGTTGCAATAGCCCAGCGATTGCCGATCGCCAAGACTTTTATGCTTCGCAAAAGAGTTCAGAAAGGTACATAACTACATAGGTACAATAATTGGCACATTTGCTTAAAATGAATACGTATCGTTGGGTGGAAGAAAACTGGCATAAAGATAAGATGATATGGCTGGTTCCTTCTGCTCAGAAGAACGGTTCTTAATCTTATAAGTGACACGAAATATGATCCATCTCTTTTAGTAAACGTACTTAAGGGATAAGACTGGTTTCTGTAGCTCAGAAAGACGGTTCTTGGTCAAAAGCGACATGGAATATCACTACGATTCACCTATCCCTTCGTCACCCCTTCCCTGGCACACCGGTCACTTACTGTAGATCTTTTCGCTCCTGCTCTTCATGGCGCGTCTCCTCCAGAGGAGTAGGGTGAGGGCGGCGCTGAGCACCAGCAGAAGGCCGGCGGTCACTCCGCACACGATGAGCGGCACGTGCCGGCCGTCCCCCGTGTCCCCGCCTCGCCCCCACCCGCCGCCGCTCAGGTGCGCCTGTGAGAACAGAGAGGAGCGTCGTGAATACGGCGGGGTGATGAGATCCACTGTTCGAGGCTGGAACTATTATATGTAGTCAGAAAGTAAGAAAAGACACATGGCAGTAGGTAAGTAAACAGTTGCCAACGTTATTGACGGGGGCGTGTCGGGGGTCGTCACGTGACAGGATCGGTCCATCAACACCCAAACAGCACAAAGATACCGACGTGCCGTGCTACACGGCATGTTACATGATGGACAAAACAGGTCATAAACGGGAAAAGTCAGGGTCTATGGGCACATAGAACACGGAAACTGCACTCCGCCCATCCTCCGCGTGGATCATGGATCACGGAGGCTCACATCTGAAGAATGTTTTTTGCACAGTGCACATTGCACACAGCTGCTACGTTACAATAAGTCACTTTCACCTGATGACACGTCACCGTCACGTCACGATCCGTCACAGTGAGGTCACGCACCGTCCTCCGGGGCGCGGAGACCGGCCGGCCGGCCATGCCCTCGGGCGGGTTACGGCCAGCCAGTCAGCTGACTGGGGCTGCGCACTGCGCAGTGCCGGCGACGGAGAGGACAGCCGGGCTGGCGGCTGGCGCCGACGGGCCCCCTCCCCTCACAGACAGACACACAGGCGCACCGGGCTGGCCGGCTGAGTCTCCACTCCTCACGGCGTGACCTCACCTGACCTATGGTGGCGACACGGCGAGACACGCCGCCGGCACGCGGAGCGGTACGGCGCGAGATAGCGACGGCAGCAGGCCGGCCGACGCCGACGTCTGTCCGAATCGATAGCCGTCGGTCCCGGCGGCAGAGACGCCGACGCCCCCGCCCCCGCCCCGCCCAGCCGAGAGTCGCGCGCCAGCCGCGGTAAATTTAGCGCCGCTGCAGCAGCTGTTGTGTGCGATACACTCTCAACGGGAGGCATGCCAGCGCGAGGCGGTAATTTCGACGGCGTGTCGCCCCTAACACGACGCGCGCCACCCAGCGGTCACGCGATCATGACCGGGCGTCACGCCGTGTCATGTGTCACGTCACGCCGTGTCACGTGACTTTTGGGGGCTGATTACAGCTGTCACGGCTGGGTCTGGTCATTAGTTGAGGTGCCTGCCCCGGTGCTGATGACCCGTCCCGTCGAGCGGGTGTTGAGGACCGTGAAGCAGCCCGTCTGAACATCGCGCTGACCGGCACCGAGATCACAGGGCGAACTATCAGCGCCGAGATCACAAAGCGTCCGACTCTGAAGGCAGGCACGCGGCTGGAAAACGCTGCTCAATTTGTGCTGCAGAACGCAACGCAGAGCCTAATTAAGCTTTTGACACAAGTTGTGTTATGGTTGAGGTTTGAGAATGTGTGTTAACATTCTCTCATTTGAACTTTAATTATACTGTCCTGATTAATTAGCAAATGAGAAGCAAGTCATGCTTCATGCACACAACTATGAAGTAAGACGTGTCCGACGGTACCCCCAGTCGAGACAATGCGGGGCGGGTTTAGGTCTCCCAAGCTCTTCTCATGCCCGTCTTATGGTCACGGAACGAACGAACGAACGAAACCCTCAAAGCAATCTCGCAGCTGTGGCTCTTCGAGAACGTAACTGTAACTATATTCCTCGAGACGATAAAGCTTCAACTTTTCCAATAAAATTACATAAATTTAGTGTGAAAATAAAATAAATCGCATATTGAGCAGGCTCAGCCTGATTAAATATTTTGCATGAAATTAATTTTCCTTAGTCAACATAATTTGCATTTAATCAAACATCAAATGAGGATAAGTCAACAATGCCCAATCGAATTCGACACCCACTCCTTCACATCAGTTTTCTTTTAAAATGTGATCTTCGGTTTCAATTCGCCGCGTTTACTGCTGACTGCGTGTGTCAGCAGATCTGCGGGGTGTTATCTCCCCTGCCGGGGCGGTCTTTTGTCGACGTGGTGGCCTCGGCGGCGACTGGGTGTTAATCCCGCTCCAAATGAGTGCTGGTCCGACCCCAATCTGCCGAGCGCGCGCCATCGACCGCACTCGGCACCCGGCCGGTCGACGACGGTGGCAGAGGGAGCGGGTCGGTCGGACACCGCCCGGCGCGGCGTCCGGAACACATGACAGAGATGGGGCGGTACATTTTGAGCCGTTACATGAACTCTACTGATGGAGTAGCAGGGATCATGGATTTTATACGGGTGACTTGACTGGAATCGTTTAGATAATGGGAGAATTTAGAATCAGGGATGCGGAGCCGTGGAAATTTCAGACGGCTCCGGCTCCGGCTCCGGCTCCGGAGAAAAAAATCGGCTCCGGCTCCGGCTCCGGCTCCGGGTGAAATGTCATGGCGGCTCCGGCTCCGGCTCCGGCTCCGAGTAAAATGATCCGGCTCCGGCGGCTCCGGCTCCGGCGGCTCCGGCTCCGGCTTCTACTCAGTACATCCCCTATGCGATCAATTAAATACGGGTGGAAGAAAAAACGCGATGGGATTGGTACACGTTGCTTCTGTATTTGTATAACAAGGCTATTTTGAATACCACATTGTTTTACGCCTTCTGCTGTCAAACCGAACTAGGTAAATAATTGTTTCCTCTTAAGAAAAGGAGCCGGAGTCGCCCTTTTTTTGGCGGCTCCGGCTCCGGCTCCGGCTCCGGGCTATATTGTTTCACGGCTCCGGCTCCGGCTCCGGCTCCGGGCAAAATATGCCGGCTCCGGCGGCTCCGGCTCCGGCTCCGGCTCCGGCTCCGCATCCCTGTTTAGAATAATGGCAAAATCAGATTAGAAGTGGTAGATATAATGCAATACATAGCATCTATTAGCGATGATGATAATGATGATGATGATGATGATGATGATGATGATGATGATGATGTTAATGGTGAAGAATGCTTGGCCCTAAGTCCAATTACATTTAGCAGTGCTAAGAAGATAAATTTTTGAACTATAAAGTCAAATATTTTATATCTTCACCCGCACCGAGAATAGATGTGAGCCTAATTCTACCACCGTTCTTTACACCAATATATTTTTCTGAAAAAGTCAACAAGGAGCCTGTCGGGATGTTTGTTTTTGACACGCCAACTATAACTGTCAGACACACCCGCAACTAACGGCGTCGTTTGGCCCACCGGCGCTCATTTAGCGACTGAGTGACGTCTGGCCGGCGTCAGACACTGAGCCGTCACTCTCAGGGTCACGGCACGCCCGTCACCGTCACAGCCGTGACACAATGCCGCTCCGGGTCGCCAGTGTCAACAGCCCACAGCGCACGGCGCGCCTCTGGACCGGGCGGTGACGGAGACCACCAGTCCGGTGTGGGGACGGTGACAGAGACCCTCAGTCCGGCGCAGGATGACAGTCAGTCATTGTGTGATTTAGGGATTCAGATTAAAAATACAAAACCTCACTTTGTAGTGCAAGTTGAAAAATATATGCTTACTGAACAAAAGATGAACCTTAAATATGCCAGAATGCACTCTATGATGACCCTCCTGCAAACAGCTTTTTGGTGTAGATCAGCCTGCACCTTCCGCGACCTACCCGCTATTCGGAAGCAGCGCTTGGTATGCACGACGCCCCCAGTGACAGCGGGCGTTGCCTTCCACCGGGCCGGGCCGGCGACGCGGATAGCCTCGGCCGGGGTGACTGAGCCGCGGCGGACACGCCCCCTCCCCGTCCCGACACGCCCCTTCTCAGTCCTGACACGCCCCTTCTTAGTCCCGACACGCCCCTTCCCCGACCCGACACGCCCTTCCCCTGTCTCGACAATGACAAGGGTGCTCCGCAGGGCGACGCGCGGCTACCGGTGCATGTTCGACCCTTTGTGAGGCTCAGCGTGGGCGTTAATGGTCTCTCACGGACGCTTCCGTCTGATATTGCCACTTACGGAAATGCAGCGGTCCGTATGAAACCAATATTCCACAGCGGAGTCTTTCGTCGAACCCAGCTCATTGATATGGCAGAAATAATTATGTGCGGTCTCATGTTGAGCCTCATAATTAAGCGCATCCGCTCTCGACGAAAAATGATGGCTTATAGCCTTGCAACAGAATGAATAGAAGCTCAGCTTATTAGGGGAAGCGGGGGGAGCACCGCCACCTTAAGCATTTCTGCTCACCGAGCTGATATGCGTAGTTAAAACGAAGCTCTTTTGCATTCATGTGAAAGTAGGAATGTTTTCCTACATGTTGGCAAAGTTTCCAGCGCTCCATTATAAAATTTCGCTACTTTACAGACGTCGAAAACAAGTCCTGCATTTTTCGTCCTCCAAAAATGTGCGGGTAGCACCGCCACCGATGGTGGTGTTATCCACAGATCGGCCTTACGGTGACAACTGACAGCCGCCCTTGGTAGCGTTACTGCTGTCTGAAATAGTAACTCATACTCATTTAACCCTCGCATGTGTAGGGGGGGGGGTCGGATGGACCCCCCCCATTGTTTTTCGCGAATAACTCGCGTAAAAAGCGGCAGATCGCGACGAAACTTTCAGTACCCTCGCATTGATCAATTTTACACCTACCCTGAAAATTTCATGACCCTGACCCAAATGACCTTTGACCTGTGACCTCTTTTCCGAGACCATGTTTGGCCGAAATCGCGATTCCGCGTATGTCGGCTCGCACTAGCCGCGTGTTTGCAAGCTTTTCGTGGTTTCAAACGTTCAAACATGTGATTTGATGTTACTCCCGTGTGTGTCAAGGTCACCTGAAGGTCAGGTCAGGTCATTGACCTTTGGTGACCTCGGGTGACCTCGGGTCACTTTTTCGAGTTTTACATGTTTCTAGGCTAGTTTTTGGAGCTGAATTCGAATTTAGCAACCATTTGAACATTTACGAAGTAGTTTTGGTGACTTCGTAACATGTTACGAAGCTGTCAGAGGCGGTTGACACGTACTACGAATACCCGTCACGACGCCTACTGGTTGACCTGACCTGACCTGACCCGACCAGGTCTAAATGCTTCAAGACATCATCTGTGATCAAAACTAACACGATATTCGTGATCAGCACCCCGAAAAA